TTTTGTTTTTTTACGAGGAGGTGCTGGGGATTAAACCCAGGACCTTGTGTATGCTAAGCATGTGCTCTACCACTTGAGCTACACCCTCCCCTTAGCTCTTTGAGCTTTTAAACTTGCATTTTCCTGATTACTAAATGATATTGAGTATCATTTCATGTGCATATTGAAAAATCATATATCATTTTTTGTGAATTTTCTTAAAATTTTTTTTTCTGATTTTCAGTGGATTGACTTCTTATTTTTAAGTTTTTTTGAGTTCCCTATATGTCCTAGATCCAAACCGTTTGTCAGACATATATAATGTAAATATTTTCTCCTATTCTTTGACTTTGCCTTTTCAGTTTATTAATGTTAATTTGAAGAGCAGAATTTTCAGTTTTTGATAAAGTTCAACTTACCATGTTGTCTTTAGTTTGGGCTTTTTGTATATGTTATAGATCATCTGGATTTAATGTTTATAACAGGCAAATGCTTATAGATCTGGATTTAATGTTTAAGTTTACAATACATTTAGAGTTGTTTTTGTGTGTGGCACAAGGTAAGGGTTGAACTTTGCTTTTTCCATATATCAATTCCAAAACAATTTGTTGATAAAACTGTTCTTTCCCCATTGAATTAATATGGCACCCTTGTAAAAAATCAGTTGACCATATATTCATGTGTATATGGGGGGAAAACATACGTTTAATTCTTTCTGTAACCTCTCTTTTGTTCCAATGGTTAACTTTTATTCTTAGGTCAATACTAAACTGTCTTGATTATGGTAGCTTCAAGTAAGTCTTTAAAATCCAATAGTGTGAGTCTTTCAAATCTATGCTTAAAACATGTTTTAGTTATTCTAAGTCCACTTTATTTCCATATAAACACTGGAATCACCTTTTCAATTTCCACAAAGAGGAAAACTAGATCTGGCCTGAAACTGTAATAAATCCATAGATCAATTTGAATAGAACTGGCATCTTAATAATACTGAGTCTTTTAATCCATGATGCAGTATTCTTTAATTCCTCTTAGAAGTTTGACAGTTTTAAGTGTACAGGGAGTGAACGTATTGTAAAATTCACCCCTCAGAGTTTTATATTTGCTGGCATTATTGTAAATGGTATCTTTTTTCCAATCTTCATTTTTTGGTTACTGAATAAATCAGTTGATTCTTTATATTGATCTTATATTTGGCAACTATAACAACTTATTAATTTGGGGCTTTTTGTGGATTTCATAGGATTTATGTATGATTTTGTCATCTTTGTTTATACTGGGATGATAAAGTGGTTTCTGTTTTAACTACAGCCAGGAGCATAATGTTTCACCCCTTTTTATAGATAAGTAAACTAAGATCAGAAAGACTAAGAGTTAGTGATAAAGAACAGGAATTTGGAATTTAGGTTGGAATCCAAATTTTAACTCTTCACTAGTTATACAAACTTGGGGAAGTTATTTAATTTTCTGTCATGGTTTCCGTATCTCTAAAATGAATCTGCTGCTGCTGCAGATGATACATATAATGATGTAATATTACAAATTATATCTTACTATTGTTGTTATATTAACCGACATGATACATGTGCAGTGCCAGGCACAGAGTGAGTCTTGGATATGGTGTCAGCTAACTAGTGATATTGTCCATAATCACTTTGGTAGAATTCTGACTTCAAGTTCAGGAATGTAGTATTAGTGAACAAAATAAATGTTTTTCCATTATTTATCAAAACTAAATTTTTCCTTTATGTGTAGTTTACTATATAGGAACCATACCATAATAACGGTGTTTAAAAAAATGTATCCTGAACAGGAAAAAAGGTGTATTCAGGCCCATAGGACAAATCCCCTTGAAGAGAAGACAAAATATACTCATGAGAACGTGAGAAGTCTTGTTTGTGTTTGTGGAGAACTTCTGACAGGAAGATCTGTGGATAATCCATTACAAATTCTCAATTCATAGTACCTATTATTTAATTAATCACTGTGATGGATATCTTCAACACTAGGTAATAATGAACAAATTCATAGTATTGAGACAGTCACTCAAGACATAACTGTTAAAGGACTTACCCATTTCTTTTTAGAACCCCATAAAATCTTGAAAGATCACAAACAGGACTCAATGGAGAAAATTCAGGAAAAGCTAGCATGTTCATTGTTGAAGGTTTGCCGATGTCCTAAGTTGATCCTTAAGAACATAAGTGTGACAGGTAGACAAGAAATAAGACACAGACTTGTCAGATATGGAAGGGAAGATTTCAGCTCAGCAAGTGGAATTTAGAAACCTTTCTCTGCTGGCTGAGCACAACCAATGTGTCAGCCAGTAACATCCGATTACACTCAGATGACAACAGTGCCGGTTAATTAGCTCTTGTTTACGTTTTGAGTGTTGCAGACTTAAATTATATTCATATTCTCACATGGAACAAACACCTAGAAAGGTTTGCCCTTGATCTAAATACATCCTTTCCTTTTGCAGTGACACTTGAACTACATGTGAGAACAAAAAACTTTTAAGAAGTCAGGCATAAATGGTAGATCATCTACATCAGATAATTAAAAAAAATCTGATTAATGATAATTTTGGCTTGAAAACCAAGTACCCTATTTCAACAGAAGTTCAGGTTGACAAAAAATGCAGACATTACCTCTGAGACTGATAATACAAAATGCCATGAACATCTCTGCAGATTCTTCAATCCTCTCATCACTTTGACTTTTTAAAGATTTAATACCAATGAAGTATAAAACATTCTTTATGTATAATCCTTGAACTAGAATGAATTTCATTCTTTCATTACGATTAAAAAGCTTTACTTCATCCTGATCCTTGTAAATTTTCTTCCAACAATGCTTATGAAAGGTCAAGAAAGTGTTGGTTTTTTTTAAGAAGCTAGAGTAACGTATCATTCGTAGTAATTTAAATTGCAGAAGAGTTTGTATTTTTGCAGCACATTCTGGGTAACAGGGCTGCTGCTGAGGTGCTCAGTAAAGCATTCAAGGGGTGTTGGAATATTTTCCTTATTTTATTTTTTTAAAAATGTTTTGAGGGGGAGGTAATTAGTTTTATTTATTCATTCATTCATTCATTCATTCATTCATTGATGTTGATAGAGGTCCTGGGGGTTGAACCCAGGACCTTGTGCTTGCTAAGCACACATTCTACCTTCTACCCCTGAGCTATACTGTCCCCCTCATCCCCAGGATATTTTCCTTTTGAAGATAAGTGTTCCATGGTTGGCATGCACTAGACAGTGTTGCACTCATTTAAAGGCTTCTAGGTTAGAGTTAAGCATGGGCAAAGCATCTCTCCAGGGAAAGTGTATGTACTGGAGATCCTTACTTTTTTCTTTACCCTATTGCTTTTCTATTTTTTTTTTCTATTCCCCATCTTTCTTCTCCAAATACCATAAAGAGACACCAGTCAGAAGTATAAATATGCTTGCTTGGTGTCCTTGATTAGAAATAGTCCAGACATCAGGGAGCAAAAACCAAAATTTATATAATCCTCAATGCTGACC